CGAAAAAAACAAGTATACGTTATACATGTTAATTTATTTTCATTTATCTCGCATTCGGTGCGCGTCATATTTACAATATACGAAAAAAGAAATCTTCTTATTATATTTCGACACCTCTCTCCATCGCAGTCTTTTATTTCTCTTTTATCGCGCGCATCGCGCATTCGATAACATCGGAAGCGCTGCGAGCATTGTCATTCCTCTTGCACGAGCGGATAGCCAAAGCGATTGGCGCCCGTGCGTTAATGCTTCGTTTCGAGCATGCAGAATGCGTTCCGCGATTGTGCGCGCACAGTTCCCCGATGCGGGTGTTTGTTGCAAACTTGCGGGGATCGCGAAATACATGCGATGATCCGCGCGCGCGCGCGCGCGCGGAATATCGCACGTGTCCGGGTACGGGAGGAGTAGTAGCAACAACGCGGCGCAGGTTGAATGTTAAAGTTTCGCGAAGCGAGTTGTTTTTCCTCTATTTCTTCATCTCTCTCTATTCACGATGCGACATTCGTGTTGTTTAATCAATTTTATTTGTTACGCACGTATGTTGTTTGAAATATAAAAACACAAAAAACCAAACAAACACTATTGAAAGTATTACACACTTGCGATAGAGTTTCCGGTAATTACGAAAGTATTTAAAAAGATGTATTTCCAGATGCGTGTAATTATACATAGCGCGCGTTATTATCTGATTTATCGTATATTGCGCAAACACACAGTCATTTTATAGTATATTCATTATACGTATCATATTAAAAACGTTGTGTGAGAAAAACGAGACGAATCCGACCGATGTAACCACGTTTCAAAGAACTTTTACAATAGCGTGTGCACGCAAGTGTGCGCGAGCCGATTTTCTTTCTCTCTCTTTTCTCTACATATAAACACAGTCGGTTATACAACATTAAGCACAAAAATAGAATTGACGTGACGTTGGTCTTTGGATATCTTGAACGCGTTCAGATTGCCGGGGTTTTTCCAATATTAAAACAAATATAGTCGACTTTCGCGTTTGTTTAAGAAACAATTCGCATATGTGTTCGTTGTGTTACGTCTCGCAAAAAAATTATTTTCGAGAAGATATATATCGGATCGTTCAAACGTTTCTTTTTTCATGAAATTTAACGGTCATTGACTCGCGTAATTTAAATTTTATATGTAAATGGCGCGTGTGTTTTATTGTTCGATCTATTTTTTTTTATTTTTTGATGAGTTTTCAATATCTGCGCGATGCCTCGTGCAGACGTTTCGGACATCTTCGCGCGGTAATAATAATCCATCCATTGGAGAACGCTACGAATTTTCCAAACAATAAATTTACTTATTCAATAAGCACGTAATAAACGTAGATGTTACGATCGCAAGATGATTTAAAAATACGTACAATCGTGCGGAGTAAAGGAGAAGAGACAACGACATAATTGAGATTATTCTCTCGGGCGAATAACCTCTTTTAATAGAGTTGACCCTAGCCGATGATTAAACAAATTGGAAAGGTCTCTCTCGGTAAACGTTGTAGCCAGAGAGGTCTTTCCTATTAGCGCGTACGCGACAGCAGACAATAAGGAGGTATTGAGGACGAAAACCAGAGCGTTTTCAACAAATATGGATTTCAACTCTTCAGGCACCGAGTTCGGGTTTAATTTTTTTAGTTTTAATTTTACAGGAAAGAAAATAAGATTTGTTTCTACATATACGAGACGCAAACTAAGCATAGATTCTCGAGTTTAACTCGAACAACATAGTCTGTTAATTTACACCCCTGACAAATATTTCGCGAGTGCAGCGGATGTTTAACTCTTATTTAGTATTTATATAAACAAATAATCTTGCGTTATCTTCACTAGCTTGTGCAATAATTTGTTGAAACAAAATTTCTTCGCGTATACGCCTATGAGCAAGGTTGAATATTGTTGAATACTACAAGGTTGAATACTATACGCGCGTTGTTATTTTTTTACGATGCAATAATTTCCACGACTAATGACAAATAATGTTTTCCGATAAGAGATAATTATTATATTTAAAACTCCTGTGGATACAAATGGCAGTTGTCCGCGCGCGCGCGCGCGCTTTCGTATCGTGAAAAAAAATGATCAAACGCCATAGTGTTGTTAGTACATAATCTAATCTCGGTGCGGTTAAATTTAAACCACCTCCGGTCTAGATTCTAGCTTGCGAGAGAACAATCGATCTGTAAAAATGCTGCTCTATCTCGACTTTCTATAGGCGAGTTTTTTTTTTTTTATCTCGATCGATTTATCTAGAAAATATATATCGATTATAGTTTGCGACGCAGAAACAAGAAAGAAACTATTTGCGTTTTAACTGTGGAGTGTTTCTGCGTTATGTTTTTTTTTTTTTTTTTTTATTTTGACAAAATTATTGATGATCCACGTCTTAGAACTAGCTGTGCAGCCTCATTAACAAATTTTGAATAAAAGTTTCGCGTCTTTCGTTTGTTCACGATTTGTCCACGAAAAAAACTAATGAATAAAATCCGCACATTTTTCTTTTTCTATCTACAAAATCTGGTTATAATAAAAAAAAAAACTCGAACAACAGACAAGTTTGTTCAAATACACACTTTTTTGTGTGCTGCGCAAATGACTGTTGTTGTTATAAATAGAATTATAAAAACAAACGATTGTTTCTATCATCAAATGATAACGATAAGTGCAAGCGATAATTAATACGTGAAATTTATCAACAAATCGAAACGCAGATAGTAACTTAAGCGCGGTAATCGATCGTCGTTTATTCGTGTAAGTGGGTTGCAAAACGCGACTTGATAATCGCAATTTTCGATAACATTATCGGTAAATACGTTTTGCGAAAGTACATATGTTTTACATCCATGGTGAGCTAAAAAATTAATGATAATGCGAAGATTTCGCGCGAGAGAATTCTCTACTCGCACTTTGTGTACATGTTACAATCTAGATTTACGAACCAGAAGAAAGCCGAAACGTTTCGGACACACATTCGTTTGTTAATATTTTCTATATTCTACTCCCGATGAAAACTGATTCGAATTGTTCTTTCAATTGTCTTTCAATTCATTAATCTGATTGATTTCTCCTCCAACGCTCGAGTTTTTGTTTTTATTCAATGCGAATCTAGGTCGTGCGTTTGATTTTGGCGCTTGTTGCACTTCTTGTTCCGCAACGCGCGGACGTGCGTGTGGGACGTTTTGTCCTCCCCGCGAGGATGTTAGAAGCGCGCGCGTTTGTCGGAGAAAACACAAGTGACGCGCATTGCGGACGTAGAATTCTCTCATTTCGAAATAGTTCTGACCCAGGTTAGGTAGGTGAAAGCAGTGCACCTCGAGTGAAAGTCAAATTCACCGCGCCCGCCGTTCGAAACTCATAAGTGTCATTAATCGGCAGACTGAAGAAGTTAATGACAAGATCGAGTGCGGTTTCTCAAGCGCCGCGCGCGCATACCATTTGACTTGCGCGGATGTCGATTTTTCAAGAGCTAAAAGATCTGTTTTTTTTTTTTTAGCACACGACTGAACTTTTTTTTTTGTGTGCGTTTTCTCCAGATATTGGTTTTGGTCCGCCGCGTGTATAAATAATTAGCGGTTTGATCGAGAAAAAAAATTGATGAATAAAATACGCGCAAAAAAAAACAAATGACAATTTATTTCTCAAATGAATTTTTTCTGAATTGTGTTTGGTCCCCAGCCGATGCTTGTAGCGAGAAAAGATTTTTTAGATTACATATATAATTGATACTAAAACTTAACAAAAACAACGAGGTTGCTAAACACAAAGATAGCTGGCTGTCATTACACGTGGCGTGCATAATCTAGTTTGAAATTTAAATGTGATTTAGCGACGAGAACAAGAGTCGTTGTAAAAACTTGTTGTTAATGTTTTTGTTAACTAATCGTTTGCAATGCTCGTCAGTTTATGAAAAACATTATGATTACAGCTCTTATTATATAAAAGACGCAACTGATATAAACATTTTTATTCAGTATATGGTTTTGTAGCTCTCTAAGAGATCTTTACGTAATCTATGCAACTTTGAAAATAAAAGTCTTTAAACTTGTTATCGATTAGTATTGAAGTTTGAATCTAACGACAAACTTAAATGGTTGTCGTTATACGTGACACAATCTATAGTTGGAAGTTTAATATTAACAACAGACAAATAGATATATAAATGAGAATTCTTTCTCAATTATATAAAAAAAATATATATGTTAAAAATAACAAATAATAAATATATATTTAAGTACATATTTACGCCATATTATATATTAAATTACAATAAGATTATACTGAAAAATATATATTTATTTTGAACATACGTTCATTTTCTTTTTATTGAAGAGTTTTGTTGAGATTTTCTTTAGTAGAGCCTCTCAGCGTTTCAATCAAAATAAACCCGTTTATGATTCAGGGTAAAAAAAAAAATTTCGTCTACTTAAATAATAGCTTGCAAAAAGAGAATTTAAATGATCAAAAAATCGATGAAAAAATTGTTTTACATGATGATACAACCGTACACGCACGCGTAAAAGTTAGATTTAACGTCGTAACAAACTAACCGCAGTGCAAAACAGATGGTGGCGAATAGTTAACGATGAGATATTAACGTAAATCGGTTTTGTTTGTTTGTTTGTTTTTTTTTTCTAATTGCACGCGTAACTAACTGCACATCGCAACTCCGCCTGATGCACTCTCGTCGTGCATCTTCAAAGCGAGTCGCTCGCGTCGCTGTGATCGCGTCCGCGTAGCCGCCCCACCGCTTGCATTCCACCTGTCAGAAGGTGGCTTCGCGTACTTCACGGGCCCCGAGAAGAAAGTACGACGAGGAGAAACGGCGTCTCGAACGTGCGGCTCGCGAGCACGACCGAACTCCGGGATGCTTACACCCCGATCGAGCTCCGATAAACAACAATGCGCCTCAATACTGACACATGCGCGCACACATCGCACATGTGTGTGCGAGAAATGCAAAGAAATTCCGTAAATACAAAATGTACTTACCGCTCTAACGGCCATCGTCCACTCGCCGGTCGCGTCGCATTCTCTCACACAAGTTTGCGCCTCCGAACGTCGGAACGTCTCGATCCAGCTGTGAGAGAGGTTTACGTACGAGGAGGTCACACACCTGCGGTCACGCACCTTCCCCGCCGAAATACAGAACACCAAATTCAAATCGAGTGCCCCGATCCGCGTTCCCCCCGTTCCGCTCTGTCCGCCGACCTGTACCGATACTGATGGTGTGTTGCCTCGCACGGCGCAAAGGTGATCGCCGCTTCGCGAATCGTTTTCAAAGCGAGAATCGCGCGCGGTGGTGTCAAATGAGAACAAGGCGTCGCGATGTCGGACAGCGATTTGCGAATCACGCGATATTCGCGCAGGAATGTGCAAATTGTGGAAAACGCGAAGACGACACTCAAAACCCCGATCGCTTAGATCAGCGACACTCATCACAACATAACTGGACACCAGCGGACTGCGGCTAGGAGGGAGAAGAGGGGAGAACTGAACCGCGCGGGCGCGAGGAACGGGGTGAAGGGATAGAGAGACGGTCGAGAGAGAGAGAGAGAGAGAGAAAGAGAGAGAGAGTGGGAGCAGGGCGTGGGACAGTTCGGTAAAAGGGAGAGGGAAAGGGCCTCTCACCGTCTCACGAGAACGCGAGAGGGGGAGAGGAAAAAAAGCGAGCGTAAAAAATCTCGGACGCAAGTTCGAACACCGTTTGTTTAGGCGGATTGCTTTTCAATTAATGTTTATTTAATTGGTCAAAAAGATAAGACAGAGGACCCCACACGTGGATTCCGATATGTTAGAAAAAGATGCAAATTGTGTAAATTATAATTAATTTACGTTTATTTTTACGTTTACAAATAAATAATTATATTTTGTGTGTTACACACACCCGAGTTTTTTTTTTTTTAACGTGCCTACATTCACGTGCGGTTTCGTGTGTAATCTTTTTTTTACTCCTTCATTGGTTAGATATCAAGGAAATTTTTTTTGCAGTTCTGTATTTATTTTCGTTGATTAGTTTTCGCTGCGGTTGGCCGCCGTTGCAAAACATCGCATTGTTTTACCGTCTCTCTACTACCCGCACAGAACAAAAACTCCATTAGACATTTATTAGATATCGCATAAAACTGTTGACGTCTAATGTAGACTTCTAATGGAGTTTTTGTTCTACGTTGGGTTATATTTTTCAATGTGCCTGCAAAAAATTATTCTTCGCGGCGCAAAATACTCCTGGCGTCGAAGTTACACTACTACTACTATCAAATGCAAATTACCAATTAAATGCTAATTTTGTAACAATTGCATTTCTCATTGTTGAATAAATTCTCTTAATCAAAAAACATTTATGGATAACTATTTGCGTTGGTGGTTTGTGCGTTTTTTGCAATCCCTATTTTTATATCTTAGGAATCGCGCGAGAAATGCGTACACCCATATGTGGCGTTATTTTCCTCGTTCGCGCGTTTATAATATATTGCTCGCAACGTTAATCCTTTTTTTGTTTTTGTTCCACACTGGCGCTACAATGTCGCAGGTGCAGTTAAAAAATTCTAAGAAACACACCTACGTAGGAGAGCATTAATAGCGATGCTGCTATTGTATAACATTGCGCACCACCTTCGGGAAGATTCTACAATATTTTCACAGAGTAGAACTCACGTTCTTTTCGATGTGTCTTTACATTACTTTAGAAATCGAGCTTCTCGCCGCACATAAAAAATATTTATATGTCTATATCGATTTCTAATAAAAATCTCGAATTTTCATTAATATACACGCACGTAAAATATATCTGTTTTTCTTAAATAATAAACAAGAAAATTGTTTCCACAAAAAGCAATAAGATGATCGTTTGCAAATAAGTCGAGACACTTAAAGCAAAATATGTCACGCGATAACGTGCATGTACTTGACTTTTGCATAAGTGAATTCGTACGATAATCGCTTATCTAACGCGAAAATGTGCTGTGAATATGATTTTATCGATGTGGATTAATTATAAAAAAAAAAAAAAGACGAAAAGTCGATTTCGTTGACATTTCTCGCGACTGAGTAAAATGCGGAGCATAAAGTGTGTGATATTATATCAAAAATTTGTACTTCTCTTTCTCTTTTTCTGAGTTAATCGTATGTAAAATCTTGAAAAAAAAAAAAAAAAACACTCCCGCACAGATAAGACAAATGTTTCTTTAATTCATCGAATATATAATGGACGAGAATTCGAAAACTCGGTTTTTAAGTTAACGTATTGCCATCTACCGGCATTTCTATGCGTTTTTGTGTACTGTCAAAAGCAGTAGGTCGATAAAAACAACTTCGTGTGCACGAAAGAAACTTCATAACCTCTCTTACTCCACGTGTATATAGGGTTACCCGGCACCGTAAAACGATTGTAAAATGACAACAATAATTGAAATAGTGAATTCTTTCGACGTGAATTCGAAAGAATTTCAGATTTTGGTGCACGATTTGATGGTCAATAACAGTGACGTGCCGTTTGACAGTCAAGAGGTAAATGAAACAATTTTGTATTTTACCTTTTCAAACACATGGTGAATTGTTTTTATACGGTATCATCGTATATTTTCAGGTCGACAAAATACACAATATCGTTATAACGGGAATCAATTCTCGCGTGAATCAAGTCAGTACTCGACATGACGGCTTGCTCATGTTGGATAAAATTTTGCCGAGATGTTCGAACGATGTGTTTTCAAAGTACGGTTTACTCTGGATCGGCAAGGCTACTCAAATATTGGAGAACGTACACAGCAGTGCGGAACACGTAACGCTAGCGTGCAAAATACTGGGATCTCTGATCACACGCTGTAGGGAGATCGCGGAATTACACAAACAGATTTCTATGCAACATGTGAAGCAACTCTTAAACGCGCTCAGCGCAATTCAGACAGTTGCAAAATGTGGAGCGGTGTACTATTTACTAGCTGTTTTGCTATATCACTATCCTGAAGTTTGTGAACGATATCAGGTATCAAAATATAAATAAGAGAATTTCTCTTGTTAGAGCTTGTGAATTTAATATTTAGACACTATATCTATTTCTATGCGTGCAAGCTAAATTTACAATATTTTGTCTGCAGGAATCTATAAGAGAGATGATATTGCTACAGATTGATTCCGCACAAAAGAATCTGGTCAATGCAAGCGCAAAGTGCTACGTACTTCTGTCCAAAGCGACGCAACGTTCTTTCAAACCGCCGCCAACAAAATTGACGTACACAGGATGGATATACAACGAAGCATTGCTTTGTAACAACTTACACGTCATAATGGACGAATTGTTTTCTGGATTAATAGAGTTGGAAAGTATAAAAATCTCGGATCAGATAACATTGCCACCTATATCTGAGGAAAATGTAATAGAATACTATAACAAACAACAACAGAGATTCTCGAATTTGTGCATCTACCTGTCTTCGATGTTACGGTGATATTTTCAAATCTATGTAAAATTAAAAAATTATTTATCATTCGATATACACATAGTCTCTTTTTTAAAAATAACAAATTTTTTCATCATACGTCTGATTTGTAATTACAGTGGATATGAAGCAAAAAATTCTGTTTTACCTCACGATATTTTGCAACTCTTATGCAGAGGACTGGCAATAACCCCATTAGGTCTAAAGAATAGAGCTTCTTTTAAGGAACAGATGCTATACATAATATTGCCAAAATTACACATCAGTCTGTTCACAGTTTTAGACGCGTTGATAAATTCGTAAGTGCTGATAAAATTTATACTAAATTAAACAACATGAAATGTAAACACACAGTACATTTATAATTTATAATACGTTTCAGATTTGCCGAAGAGTTGATTCCTTTTGGAAATACGATGTTACAATTGTTTCGTCAAACATTGCAATGGACAAGCACCGTCCTGGAAAATCATACAACATTTGGTCAAAGTAAACCTTTCAAAAGTGTAAAAATGTGCACTTACAGATGTTTCTCGTCGTGGTTGAAAAATACTGGCTCGACATCGGGCATAGAGACAATTGCAAATAAATGCGCTACCTTTATCTGGAAAGATGTGATACCGGAACAAGATCGTATATTGTTAACTGTAAGTTTTGGATGATTTTATAAAACTAATTCCATTACTTATCAATTATTTTAATACTAAAAGCAAAACCACGTTGTGTGTGTTTTGCTTCTTTATATAGGTGCAACAAAAAACGCACCATATGTCTAAACGAGCAATAAGACGTTTTAAAAATAGTCAGTATGAAAATAGCTCCATTTTAAATAACAAAGAAGGTTCCGCTAAAAGTGAGTGTTTGGATGCGGACTTGTGCAGAGAAGCTCTTGTTGTTCTACAGAATGTGCTGTCTAGTGGGAGCATTTTGTTGCCAGTTACATTTCACCAGGTAAATTATCAGAGATTTCCAATACGATAAAAATTATACATAAAAAAATAATTTTTAATTATTTCTTTTAGACCGTGCAAAAGACCGTTATATCGTTACTGTACAATCTTTATTTGAGCTCCTCTGAACAAAACTTTTACAAAAATCACAGTGATTGTCGTTTAGAACTATTTAAATTATTAAAAGTATCACAAATGAATCCGCATACCGCGTTAGCATTTCCGACGCAGTATTGTCTGGAAATATCGCAGATGGCAGCTCGTGATATCAATTTGAATATTGCTCAAGAAGCGAAACTCGCCTTGGCCGAACTTGAAAAAATTATTCATCCCGCCGCGCCTACTTTAAGATTACCGGAAGAGTAAGTAACTGTACAATCTGAAAGAATAACTAACTCTATATATTAGATCGCAGATAAAAAAACACACACGTGTTATTAACTTGCAGAGACCGTGGTAATCAAACTGTTCTTGAAAATCAGATAGATAAGGATCAAATAGATGAGATTTTCGGCGTTAACAAGTCGGATAAGAGAAATTTGACTGAAGAAAATACAAACGCAGTGCCGTGTAAACGACCAAAAATAACTGCAATAGAAATTATACGGAACGAAAATAATACACAACAAAGTATAGAGTTGATGGAAGCGAATGACGAAGCAACAGATGCGGATAAGTCTCAAGAAGATAACAATTCTTGTAACAACATTGAAAAAGAAGAAGAAGAAGAAGAAAAAGAAGAAACTAACCATATATCGAAAGAAAACGATGAAGTTTTTAATAGCGAACAGAATCAGTCTAACGCTACAAGCACCAATACTGAAAGTAAAATGGAAGTTAATGAATGTAAATTATCTATTAACGGGGAAGAAGAAGAAAAAGAAAGAGAACAATCTGAAGACTTGGTATCGTGCGCGAATCAAACGGACAAAACAAAGAAAATCACTTCCTCAGAAGGTATTTCTTCAGAAAGCGCTGAAGAAACAAACAAGAGATTGTCGCAAAAATCAGAAGATTGGGAAGAAATGGATGCGGAAATACTGGAATCTTTGAATCTTTTCCGTGACGAAGTGAACGAGTAATTAGATATTTTTATTTCATCTTTGCAATAAAGATATACTTACAAAAAATTAAACGAGAATAGCTTAGCCGACATTAAATGGTATTCGTGGTGCCGGCACTTTCGGTAATAGTCCGCCACCTTTCGTTTTACTCTGCGTTGTGCTCTCTTTATTCGATTCCTCGGTATTACGTCCTGTCGATTTGTTTTTCGCAATATTGAGACCGGATTTGAGGTCGGGGACAAATTCGGTGATTGCGTCGATAGGTTTCTGTATCACCGATGTACTTTGTTCTAACAATTGGAGAGGTACTTTGTACAACTGGCACATTGGCGATCGCAGTCGTTCCGACGCGGCAGTCCACAACCCCATTTCGCAGTATCTGAAGTAATGACGTCAATAACGAGTAACAAATTGATTGTTTGACACAATTTCTGTGAACGTTACCTGAAATTCTTCATAGTTTTCGGAGACGTCGTGATACTGACGAACGGATCCGCGTCGTCCGAGAATCTTGGCATTATTTTCGATATCAAAGCGCTGTCATTGGAACTTACACTTGTAATATTCGCACCGAGCGTGCCACTTCTCGCAAAATTCGCAATTATATCCGTGAAGATCTCGGTCACACGTTCGTCTTCTTCGTTCGACTCGTCGATGTCGTCCATTTTCTCACCGGTGATTGTGTTCCGATTAAAGATGAATCCCAAATCGTCACCGTGATTCAAACTGCCTAAAGAATAATTAATGATTTGTATTAAACAAAAACAACGAAACGAGAATACGCATTTTACTTAATTATTACAGATCGTGTACCGTCCGAGTGTTTAGCGTCGACGATTGGCAATCCAGCGAGGAAATCTCTGCCGTAATTTCTCTTTCCCTTGTGATCAAAAGTGTACAGGTACGCGTTTGCTTTCTTTGACCAACGATCGACGGTTAGAAACGCAGGAGCGTTGTAGAGCGAATCGCTCAGAGCTTCGGCGACTTTTCCGATCGTGTTTCGCGTGCCATCGGTTTCGAGGATATCGAAGTAGCCGCGGAAAGCCTGAGGATTGAACCGCGATCCGTTTTGCATGTTCGGAACAGTTTCTTGCAAATACGGTACAAAGTCGTTGGTCAGATAATCCGGAATCGTGTTTAATTTACTTTGCACTTCGTTCTTGTACTGACCAAAAACCGCTCCTCCCGTTTCGTCGCTCATGACTCCCGTCAATAACGGTATAGATGGAAAGGTACCGAGTTTCAGAGACTGCTCTGGCGATGCGGTGACAAAATTCGGCAACGATCTTCAGAGATGGTCGATAGAACAATGTTAGAAAACGATATGTCTTGAAGGTTTTTTTTTTTAAATATACATGTTACCTCTCGTCGTCAGGACCTTCTATGACGGGACCGGCTCCGAGTAAACTGGACAAGCCGGAGACGAAACCTCGAACGGTCGTGCGAATATTCTCCAGTTCCGAGTCAACTCTGATCAGATCTTCCATCGGCAATTCTCGCAGACAGCGCACCATTGTTCGCGCGTCGTCGGTCGGACAGCCGTTTTTGCGCGCTATGTACTTGGCAGTCGCGGACGGATCGTTGTCGATGGCGAAGTGAGACAGGATCGAACCGGACATGGCGATTAAACCGCTAAAACTACCTGAAAGAACAATAATCGTGCGGCAACGAAGAATAAAAAATAAAAATACTGTTGTTCGCAACGCGACGTTATACCTTCGCAGAATTTTGACAAGGACAGCATCATAGCGGAACTGGCACCGGTGCCGTGACCGAACGCTATTATCTTCTTCGGATTACCGCCAAAGAAGTGTATGTAATCCTTCACCCAGTCGATGGCCAGTACCATATCGAACATACCGTTGTTTCCCGGCATCTCCTGCGTACCTGTGCTCAAAAATCCTGGAAAACATCTTGGTGACATTATCATCGCTCTTCGACGATTATTTTTTTACGTTCTATCTAGAATCGATTTGTGACTTGAAGTCTGAGAGCGCGGAGACTATCGAATATCCACAGACAGATTCGAATATTAGATTAGAACATTTTTGCACAAATTTAATTTTTTTTCCACGCAGCAGTTACCTAATGTTCCCAATCTGTACTGTATAGACACGACGACCATCTTCTTTTTAATCAAATTTCTCATTTCGTATTGGCACGCAGCACCTCTTCTGAAACCTCCTCCGTGAATCCACACGAGTACGGGATAGCCGTCGTTTGAATCCGGAAGCGACGGTGTGAAGACATTCAGAAACAGACAATCCTCGCTCCCTATAATGTTGCTTCCGTCGCGGCTCGGCTGAGGACAAGGAGGCGCCCAAGTTGTGGCATTGTAGTCCCCTTCGAGATCCACGGGTGAAGCTCGCTGTAATTTATATCTCGATTTTTTGTTTTTCTTTTCCTACCAGAAATAAAAAGGGCATTTGGACCGAGAAGTGCGCGTTTTGGAGCCGAATGTATCGCATCTATTGTTGCTTCTTTTCCGCGTTGCCGATTGGTTGGTTGATTGATCGAGTCGAATCGAATCGGTAAGATCGAGAGAGTAAATAATGAAAAGCGATTTTGAGACAGGTCGTTGTGTATATGTAGAGAAAATTAAAAACGTAACTAAAGTCACGTGACAGGAAAGAGTAGAAAAACAACACGTGAAAATAACGTGACTATAATTTATATTATATATAACATTAAATAATACATATTATACATATAATTTATTATATATTTATAATATTATACTTTATATTGTATTATATGTATTATATACATACTACACAGTAATGTCACTGACCTCGGCCGCGCGGCCTTGGCGGGGTCATTGACCTCGGCCGCGCGGCCTTGGTGGGGGAGGGTCACTGACCTCGGGCGCGCGGACTTGGTGGGGGTGGGGTCACTGACCGCGGGCGCGCGGCCTTGACGGGGCACTGACCTCGGCCGCGCGGCCTTGGTGGGGGGCGGGGTCACTGACCGCGGGCGCGCGGCCTTGACGGGGCACTGACCTCGGCCGCGCGGCCTTGACGGGGCACTGACCTCGGCCGCGCGGCCTTGGTGGGGGGGGGTCACTGATCTCGGCCGCGCGACCGCGGCGGTGTTACTAACTTCGGTCGCGTGATTACGGTATATATATATATATACATATATATACATATATGTGTATGTGTGTATATATAGATATAGAATATTACATATAATGTATATAATATTCTCTTTTTTACCTTTTGACAACACGTTAAATAAAAATAACAATAGCGTGCGCGTATCGCGCGCCTGTGTTGTGCTAGTTTATAAAATTTTTTGTGTTCCAAGAGACTAATTAAAAACGCTCATAGTGTCTTAAATTAGTTTGTACGAGGTGTCGGAATAGCGTGAAAGAACATTCAACAAAAACGACGGCTTTTCATCAGTTTTTACGGAACAATAAATCTATTATTTACGCACCGTTCGTCAAAGCGGCGCACATGCTTGTTGGGGTCATCGAATTTAATTACCGCGTACATATATTGCGATGTGTCTGGCCATTACACTTCGCCGAACGATTTAATAGATTTGACACAGTTAAATTTTAGGCGCACGTTCCGAAATTTGTGAAATTACATATGCGCGAAATTACGAAACTTATATTCTAATTCAATAACGTTCGTGACTCAGCGCAATTATTATTTTTATTGCGTTATCCTTTCAAAATCGTACAACACTTTAAATTTGCATTTCTATATATACTTGAAAAATATATAATCCAGAAGATAGAAGTTTTTCATATTTACAAGACTTTGTTATAATTTTTTAAATTTTATTTTTTACTACAACTACGCGTGTGTGAAAAATTGTAATAAAACTTGTACTTATTAGTTTTATATTATTATATTACGTTACACGTCTGTGTGTGTGTTTTTACCTGAAATCGACTTCGACCCGTTGGTGGTTCGCCAAATCTAATTCCGCGAAAAGTGTAAAATCCTTTGTCGGGATCGCGGCTGCCGATGATGCGCGCGTTTCGGCCGTTTTTATTTATAAAAACTACCGGATCGTCCTCGGGAGGCGGCGCGGCTGCAATACCGCCAACAATTCTCTTCTGTCTTCTGATCAGCTTCCCATCCTTCGACTCCGCATCAATTAACGAACACAGCAAAAGAACGAAGATCAAACCGATGCGTCTATTCATTTCGAATGCGCGATGCGGTGTTGCAAAAAGAACTGTCGCGAAGTGTCGCCGGACATTTATATATGCGCAAAAGACTTAGTGGGGTGAATTATACAAAATTCAGATTTCTTTTCTGAATATAAATAATAATCGTCATGTATAAGAAGCAGTTGTGTTTTTATTTTTGTTACATAAATTTATCAAAATCTATTTTACATGTTCTCATATCTAATTAAAAAATAGAAAATTTATTAATGGGTAAATTGTTAATTAACCAAATTAGTTTTCTTTACGCACAAATTTTTCGAAACAAACTTACATTTTAAATATGTAGAACGGATTTCAGCGGGTTGCCAATTGTTTGGTCACTTCCGCGATCTTGCGATTAATGACCGTTGTAAACGAGACCCGTGCTCAGTGTTGGAAAAACAACTTTTGAAATGTTTTTGATGTTGGCAGCACTTTTTTCGCGTCATTGCACCACTAGGGATTTTTGTAACACAGCGCACACAGTGCCCTCTAACTTAAACCACGGTGGTGGTCGACTTCCGTCTTCTCCGTTGCAGTTTTCTTTTTGATCTTGGCTTTGGGGGTATGTTTGCAGATGTGTTTATTGCGCGAAATATCCGCTTTGATTAGCGTCTGTAAAATAAATCCGTTTGAGGAAACGTTCAATTTTACTTCTTCCATCGTTCGCGCGTAAAACGCATCGGATATTTTGTCGCGAATCGAAAATTTATCGAATCTTGTCGAGTTATTTTTTCACAACTCTGAGGTTAAGACACGCTGAGCGAGAATGCGCAACACGACACGCGGCGGTTTTCCTCGTTCGGACGTAAATGTCGTCGAGAGAAATGATTGCGATTTTGTTTTGCAGGTTCTAAGCCATGGGTCGCGTAATTCGTGCGCAGCGTAAAGGTGCGGGATCAGTTTTCCGATCTCACACCAAGAGAAGGAAGGGAGCGCCGAAGCTCCGCTCGTTGGACTTCTCCGAGCGACACGGATTCATCAAGGGTGTTGTAAAGGTTTGTTTATCATATTTCATTGTTGCAATAATTTCCCATTGAATTTAAAAAGATTTTGTTCACAAACTCTTCTGAATTCTTTAATACACACCTTGCGTGTACTTTTTCATGATGATATATTATTCACAACCTACTTCTGATTGATTTGATGTCAACTTAGAGGCTCTTTCTGAGAAATACGATTTCTCTATATCTTAACAATTATATTTTCAGATCATGTAAGGTAAATTTATATTGTTCTTTTAGGACATTATCCACGACCCTGGTCGTGGCGCGCCATTAGCGATGGTACATTTCAGGGATCCATACAAGTTCAAAACGCGAAAAGAATTGTTCATTGCACCAGAGGGAATGTACACCGGCCAATTTTTGTATTGCGGGAAAAAAGGTATGGTAGCAACAATTTTTTTTTAATATATAACATTACAAATAAGTCTACATTGTTGCTTCATCAATGGCAAATTATCAAGTCTCTTGTTAAAAAAAAAATATTTTACATGTAATTTAATCAATAGATGTTTTATTGTCTAGCCAATCTTCAAATTGGAAATGTGATGCCTGTTGGTCAGATGCCGGAAGGTACAATTGTCTGTAACTTAGAAGAGAAAACTGGCGACAGAGGCCGATTGGCTAGGGCTTCTGGTAATTATGCCACAGTGATTACTCACAATCCCGATACCAAGAAGACCAGAGTCAAGTTACCCTCTGGCGCAAAGAAGGTTATTCCCTCTAACAACAGGGCTATGGTCGGAATTGTTGCCGGTGGTGGACGTATTGACAAACCTATTCTGAAAGCTGGCAGAGCTTATCACAAATACAAGGCAAAGAGGAATTGCTGGCCTAAGGTACATATATATTTGTTTTTTTTTTATTTCAACAACATATACAAAGTAAATTTTGTTATTTTCAATGATGGTAACTTAAGACATTTGAAACCTGAAGAATTTCATGTGGAAAGATTTTGACTGAGAGAAACTAGAACTTTATATTTACCGAATTGACACATGTGGAAGTTTGTGTTTAATACGTTCACGAATATTTTCAGGTTCGTGGTGTTGCTATGAATCCTGTGGAGCATCCTCACGGTGGTGGTAATCACCAGCACATCGGTAAAGCTTCCACTGTCAAACGTGGAACCAGTGCGGGTCGCAAGATCGGTCTCATTGCTGCTCGTCGTACGGGTAGAATTAGAGGAGGCAAAACCGATACGAAGAAGGACGATTAGACTAAATGTCAAAATTCTGGCATATATTATATAACAAAACGTGTTTAAAAAACAATTTCTGGTTTACTTATTTTTATTCTCCTGCATTCAAACATGAAGTCCACGCGAAATTTTGCGAGAAAGACGGTCTTGTGAAATGAAGAAAATATGAACTTGAAGGTAGAATGTGTTTGAAAAATCAACGTGTTTGTACACGTTGCATGTTTTTAAAAAACATGTTTACGTATAGAGGAGCGATTAACGTCGTAAAGGTGAAGCAAAAAATTTGATTTTTTTAAATTGATATCGGTAATCCGCTTCAATCCGTACTGATCAAGATAATATCCTAATCGAGTTCGGGGAAGAGAGGACGGTTTTCATTATCTCGAATATCCGTCAATTATCTCGGTCGGTTGCTTCGCGATTGGTCAAATTGAGCGATCGACTAGATCGCAATTGGTCGGTGAAGTTGGCGTCAAAATCTATCGAGGCAGTCGATACCTCGAACATTGGGTGCGTTCAGACAACTCAACGGTTGAAAGATCATCACTTATGATAGGACTATTCTTCAAAATCTGCTGCGGTTTCAAAAGTACGATCCAATCAGAAGTGATTATCTCTCAACCGTTGTGCAACCGTTGAGTTGTCTGAACGCACCTATTGTTGCCAACATGGTTTAAGAGAATCAACGCTGTTCGAGGGCGAATCTGTTCGTTTTCGTGCGCGACATAATTAAGTAACAGCGTTTTTATCAATTTCCGAATATCGAACACACCGAAACATACGCGTATTAAAAATTACTATATTCGTATCAAATTCGGCTCGATCTCGATAATGCAAACGATGTCCATATTAAGCTGGCACAATAAGCTTTCTTCACGCGAAATCGTATCAAAATCATACGCTTATCAAACACATTTATAAAATAATGTAAACATCAAAATTTATATTTACATTGCAAAACAAATTTTATTTGATTGAGCGTATCAAAAAGATATTACGGTGTAAACTAGGCCATAATATCTCGGAGCATCTACCATCTTTCTTCGCACTTTCTCCCGTCTCTCCGATTTGGCGCGAGATCGCGTTTCAGGCGACATCCGGAGAGGAAGTCGGTCGGCCATTTTGATAACTCGAAGTATCTCGGCCATTTTTGCGTCAACGTCAAGTGCGACAGGGACCCTCTCGCGCTTCGCTAGCAGTTTATAGCTAGTTGACTTCGGGATTTCCCTCACGTTGTGTGTTAAGAAAGAGAGAGACTTTGATCGGCGTTTCGCCGTTTTCCTCACAATCGAGAAGAAATCGTCGCGAGGGTAACGCCAATTCGTCGAACGCGATTCGTTGTGTATCAGAATTATCCACGGGGGAACAACGATCGTACGCGGAGATAAAAGAGAGAGAGAGACAGGAAAAGGACGGAGCGTCTATTCGCGTCGGGAACTTGTGTTTCAGCTCGTGTGAGAGCGTTGTGTGTGAGAGAGAGAAGAGAGAGAGAGAGAGAAGAGGACGAGCTAAAAGGGCTTCAAGCGACAGAGCTGCGAAAACTAAGCACCGAGGCGGAGTAATATGAGTAATGCACCCAACCAGAATGGATCAGGTCTAGAGCAGCAGGTAAAAAAAAAGAAAATAATTTATCTCCTGTAGTTTGTACGCGCGAGAGGAATCTCACGACTCTTTTTTTTTTTTTTTTTTTTTTTACGAAGAAATCTAACGACAAATTGGACTCTACTTACTTCTGCCGAAGCTTCATGTCGGCACGTCGCCAACCTTGTATCTTTAATATTTTAGAAGTTATGAATTTTTGAAAATTTTCGACGACTCTTTTTTTTTTTTTTTTTTTTTTTTTCTCTTCATCTTCACATCGTCGTTTTATCCGCGAGAATTCCAGCGCGGAAAATCGTCGTTAGAGAGCATGTGCGAGGCGCAACTTTCTTTATCCGATCGAAGCTCTCTTTCTCCGTTCGTCGTGAGAGCGTCACGGGCATCCGTCATCACTCGGGTAGTTCGTGACGTTATGCGTAATGGCGGCGAGCGATTCCGGGAACGAGCATGCCTCGTGTCCCGTGACGCATTCGCGCCTCTTTGTGTGTCCGCCGCGCTTCCTCTCTCAATACGCGCGAATTGTCGCGATAAGAATCGCGCGCGAGCGAGGTTTTGGCATGTACATACGTAACGGATTGCGTTCGCTTTGCGGGCGCTTCCAAGCGTTATTTTTTTTTTTTTACTTCCGCTTTCGATCGAGGAGAGTTTTCTACGGAGCGTAGGGAGGAAGTGAAGTCGCGTTCTCTCGTTTTTTTTTTTTTTTTTTTTTTTTGGCATTTAACGACCGCGATTCGCGAGATTCGCAAGGATTTAAGCGCGTTGAGCGCGTGTTTCTCGTAAAAATGTAAAAATTCGCCTGTTGTGTGTAAGAGCGCGTCGGTTCGTCTTAATTGCTCGTTAAATGTGAGACAAAGACGGACCGAGTCACTCAGAGCACGTGAGCACCCAAAGCGAAAGAGCCTGATACGAAGCATGTGAGCGAGGCATGTGTGTGAAGGAGAGAGGGTTCTCTCTGCGCTTATATATCAAAAGAGATAACTCATTGATAAAATAATGAACTTTACACAAAGAGAGAAGAGTTTCTTCGCAGCGATCAACGGGTAGGCAGGCACACAACGGATGATCATCCCCTCACTGACGGAACACGGACGCGTTAAAACGCGTGAGTCACGCTTCAGCCAATCGACATCTCGATTTTCAAGTGTGAAAATTTATGTAAAACTTCCGGTGTGTGTTAATAAAAGTGTTGACCGATATTTAACTTTTGCAATTGGCTGACGCGCGTTTATTCACGCGCGATTGACGGTGCGTGTTAAATGCAATCGTTAAATTAAAGACAAATTTTTTATTTCTTCAGCTAGCTGGTCTGGACTTGCAGGGCTCCCGCCAACCAAGTGGGGGTCGCTACGTTCCACCGCATCTTCGTCATAAGGCAGCAAGTTAGTGGAAAAAATAAAATCAGTTACAGAGAATTTTACCAAAAAGTAGAAAATTAATGAAAAATATTCTTTCGGAGTTTCTGAGAATTAAGATCAATAATAAACAAGCGACATTTCTTTGCGTGTATAAATAAATTTGTATATTTGTTTTCGTACAAAATCCACAAATGTCTCAAACTTGAGATTATTCTAGTAGATCCTAGATATAAAATATACAGGGTGTCCCAGAATAGCCGTACAATCTCTCGTAGGCAGATAGAAGGAATAAAACTGAGTCGAAAAGTCCTGAACCATTTTTTTCTATTATTTATAATAAAAGAGTAATTATTGAGTAAATCAGGCCAATCAGCGCCGATCTTTAGCCAGGCGCACGTCAGTGAGCGCTCACAAACACCAGGCGCGCGGCTCACTGACGTGCGCGTGGCTAAAGGTCTGCGCTGATTGGCCCGCTTTACTCAATAATTACTCCTTTATTATAAATAATAGAAAAAAAATGGTTCAGGACTTTTCGACTCAGTTTTATTCCTTCTATCTGCCTACGAGAGATTGTACGGCTATTCTGGGACACCCTGTATAACAATCTATAATAATATAAAATCAATATATATTATTGCATTATATATATATATATTAATATATTAATATATATAATATTAATATATAATGTATATATATGTATATTATATTTAATATATTATATTTTTATTTGTCTCAGTTGTAGATTGATAATTTGAGTTAGCAAGTCAAAACTAATAAGCGTATATCGGTCAGTAAATTGTCTCAGTTCTGGAGTTTATGGAACTGCTGTAAAATAATTTATAACAAAACTTGTTATAAAAATAAATTTTTGTTTCCACTAGATCCACCCTCGGATTCAATTTACTCTTCCAACTCAAGATCGTTTAACGATAGAGACAGAGGAGGAGATCGCGATCGTGACCGTGAAAGAGATCGCGACCGCGACCGAAACCGAGGTGGTTACCGAGACTCACGAAGTCCTCGTGACATCGATTTTGCAAATTTTGGAAGTTTCGGCGGACGAAATAGACGCAGTCAAGAAAATGGAAGGGATTATCGATATTCAAACTCCGATCGCGATCGACCAATTGGCAATGATCGCTGGCAGGAGCCGAGAAATGATCGTTGGCAAGAAAACAGGAACGACAGAATTGGCGGAAGTGGCGGAAGATGGGACGATAGAGGCGGCAGAGGCGGGCGAGGTGAGGTTGACTGGACCATCCCCACTGCCAGAGATGAGCGATTGGAGCTGGAGCTATTCGGAACTGGTAATACTGGGATCAATTTTAGTAAATACGAGGATATCCCAGTTGAGGCCACAGGAGAAAACATACCGTCACACATCGCATCTGTAAGTACTAACATACATAAGATGTACATTGGGAAAAAACTAAGTAAATATTTTTTTTTTTTTTGTACTGACCGAATTATTTTTTAACTTTCAGTTCGACGAGGTTAAGCTGACAGAGATAATAAAGAATAGCATCGCTTTGGCAGGATATGATAAGCCTACACCAGTGCAGAAGTATGCAATACCGATCATTATCGGACGCCGTGATGTGATGGCCTGCGCTCAAACTGGATCCGGTAAAACAGCGGCCTTCTTAGTGCCAATACTGAATCAGATTTACGAGAGCGGGCCGCGGGCGCCGCCACCGCAACCTGGCTCTTCCGGCAGGCGTAAACAGTATCCGTTGGGTCTAGTATTAGCTCCCACGCGAGAGCTTGCCACGCAAATATACGACGAGGCGCGAAAATTCGCGTACAGATCGCGGATGCGTCCCGCAGTTGTTTACGGCGGTTCTAACATAGTGGACCAAATGCGCGAATTGGATCGTGGCTGCCACCTACTTGTTGCGACGCCTGGACGTCTGGTGGACATGCTGGGACGTGGTAAAATCGGTCTGCACAATTGCCGGTAAGTAATATATATCGCCGCAAAATGATCTATGCTCCCGATTATCTTTGTTTCTATATTCTTATTTTGTTTATTTCTCATTTTTATATAGATATTTGGTTTTGGACGAGGCGGATCGTATGTTGGATATGGGTTTCGAGCCACAGATAAGACGTATTGTTCAAGAAGACAATATGCCGCCTACCGGAGAAAGACAAACTCTCATGTTTTCTGCAACTTTCCCGAAAGAAATCCAGATATTGGCGAGAGATTTTCTTAGCAACTACATTTTCTTGGCTGTAGGCCGCGTGGGTTCCACTTCTGAAAATATCACGCAAAAGATTGTATGGGTGGAAGAACACGATAAACGTTCATATTTACTAGATTTGCTGCAGGCTAGCAACTTCTCAGACCCTTGTGAGTGCAAAAAAGTTTTTCAAGTTGAGTTCAATTTATTGTTATAAGAAAGAAAGGATATTGATTTGTTTTGTATTTTTCCACAGCTGCAGAATCACTCACCTTAGTGTTCGTGGAAACGAAGAAAGGCGCTGACATGTTGGAAGAATACTTGGCATCGATGGGATATCCGGTTACCAGCATTCACGGGGACAGAACTCAACGTGAACGTGAGGAGGCCTTGCGCCGTTTTCGTGCCGGCAAAGCGCCGATTTTAGTTGCGACTGCAGTCGCCGCACGTGGTCTTGATATACCGCATGTGAAACATGTCATCAACTTCGATTTGCCGGGCGACGTTGAGGAATATGTCCATCGTATTGGTCGTACCGGTCGTATGGGCAATTTAGGTTTGTTTTCGTTCAAATTGACAGTTTCACTAAAAATTTAAAAAATAAATTGGTATTATATCATATTGTTTTTATTCTCTGCAATTATCAGGTCTGGCCACGTCATTCTTCAACAACAAGAATCATAATTTAGTGCGCGACTTGGTTTCCTTACTTATCGAAGCCAATCAGGAACTCCCGTCTTGGTTAGACGAGATGTACACCGAAGCGAGATATTCTGGAGGTAGTTCTCGACGACCCGGTGGTACGAAGGGACGTTTCACTGGTGGCGGCTTCGGTGCGAGAGATTATCGCCAACAACCCAGTTCTGGATCTGGCCGCAGTAACGGTCCTTCTAGACCTGGTGGTTATGGAGGTAATTTGAATTGCTTTATTTTGGTTTTATATTTGGGTATATCTTATATCTTCAAAGCTAATACATACATACAAACAGTAACGATAAGAATAACAGCGAATGTGAGATGACCAAACGTCAGGCAGTTGGTCATACACAAAATTCAATATAAAAATTAAATAAAGATTCATTTCTCGTCACTGATAGATAAAAATTATTCAAAAAATCTCAGAAAAAGAAAAAAATAAATAAGTTAACAATAATTATGCCAGTAGTCAATATCTTACACAAAACAAAAAGAAAATGTTAATAACATTGCAAAATACTCATTCTTTGATGAAATAATCTCAAAGTATACTTCAACAAACAGTTGTTAAATCAAATATAACCCCAACCTGCTTAAAGCTGCGAGATAAACAAACGCTCGTGTACATCGTTACAAACAACTTGTACTTCTCACAAACAGAGTCGAAATGGCAGGAGAAACGGTCTACGTAATACGTGAAAACACAATATAGAAAAAGAACGAAGAGATATATATTTTTGATATTTTTCAAATTTCTTTAAAAGAATAAACGTCTTTGCGATTTATATTGCTCCTAGTCATTCGGATTGTCTGTGGAACTTTATTTTTTTTAATTAATAAATTGCATAATCAATCTGACATTAAGAAAACTGGCAATGTAGTTATCATTTGTAACTTAATAAAATTTTAATATTATTTATTCTGCACGTGTGTGCGTTTCTGTTACAGGTGGTTACTCAAACTACGGCGGTAACTATAATAATTCTGCGTACAATAATTCCACTAATAACGGCAACACCGGTCCTGATTGGTGGGGAGCGTGGGACAAGTAGACGATTTATTTCCATCTCTCTATTTCTACACACTTCTCTATACCATTTATTATTATATTATTATTAATCTACACTCTCTCAAATTCAATTACATGTAAGAAGAACACGACATCATTACGTCTGATACTACACACGCACGTGTTTTTGCGCGCGTATACACGTACACTTGCGCAAAACAGACAAAAAGAAACAGTTCCATGTGTAATACGTGTTCACATTTTCGCCGATTGCCTGTGCATTCGGATCTTTTCTTTTTTTTTTCTTTTTTTGATGAGAGAAGCAGAGAAAGAAAATACTTACATTTTGAATTTCATTAATAATTCACATTCGTTCACGTGCGTACATTGACAAATCCTGCGTGCAATGTGGTATTCGCGCCGGTGGAGATCATATCACCGGGGGGGATATGTCGAACGTAAACGATCTCATTTATAAGAAAAAAGTGCGAGTATTTTTCTCTCTCATGGGATCTGTTCAATATATATATTATTAAGTTCTCAACATACACACACACACACACACACACTATTAGTTAGAAATCCATCCAACGTTTCGTTGCCGTGCGTGCTGACGAAAACACATGTAGTATAATCACTAACGAATCAAATCGAAGAGAATCGTTAATCGCCCGCTCGGAACGGGAATTAACGATGTAACACGTAGTAGGTGAAAAAAAAAAAAACTTAGTAAAATTTTTTAGAACTCCTGTCGAGACTATGAGGCTCATCATAGTTGTGCTATTTACATTTATGTTTCTTTCGTAAAAAAACAACAACAACAGCAACAACAACAACAACAAGGCACGGTGGGCGTATCTTCGGTAATCACGTCTTTTGATGATGCATGAACTCTTGCGAAAATGTTTAGATGCACAAACACAACACGCTTTATATATTGCCTTTGCTATCACGATGGCCAGTAAGTAAAAGTCGCGCATTTTCGTTCATCAAACGGATGGCATATTTTTTCCGGGTTATTGTTAACGTGCACGTTCGTCAAACGCATACCCAAGGTACGCAATAATCACCGTCGCAGTAGGATTTATATAACAATAACAATTCCTTGTACTTTTGTTTTTGTTTTTTTCCTTTAATTTGCTGTAGTTTATAGCGACGAATGGTACTTTGTTATTTTGCCGTCCCCAAACGACAGACGATGTTGCGCCGGCAATGTCATATGGTTTACCTGAATAAGCCAGCTTTAAATTTTTCGGGGATCGAAAGTTTCGGTATTGTGAAAACAAAAAAAAAAAAAAGAAAACAAAAAAGGCAACACACACATGTATACAGATATATATACACAGGCTACGTCTTATGATACCTTTAGAAATCTTCTAATCTATTTTCGTTTATATAATGCACACAACTCTCAACGCGATTTTCTGATTGAGAAGAAATTTCAGAACGACAACGCTTACGCGATTTTCACAGCCAGCAAGGTTATTTTTTTAATATAAATTTGGTCACGTAACGGTGAGACCTCAAATATATACATATTTATTGTTGAGAGAAAGAGAGAGAAAGGAAGGAAGAGAGAGAAAGAGATATTATCTATAGAATATTTTATATACATAATGTAATTATATATATATATAATTTTTTATATATATAATTATTTAACTTTTTATCGATGCGCAGAGAATTTTCTAGTTCTCCTTGTTATACAAGGATACCGTAAGGTTTCTGTTTGTAACAAAAAGAAAAGAAAAACGTAATTTTGTTTTTTAAGATTAACACACACATACACAGACAAGTTGTAAGCTTTTATATTAAAATATCAGATAAAATAGTAGTACACATTGCGAGGGAAGGAAGATTAGAGATCTTTTTTCTAATTATATGAAGAGGTCTCACTGTGTGCAAATACAGCTGAGTACGCTTTAGTGGAAAGCACAGGTATACATAAATAATAAGTTTATGTACCTGAAAAAAAAAAACAAAAAAAAAAAAACAAACCGGGCTTGAGTAGAGTCAAGGCGAAAAACTGCGTTGATCCCACGTAGAGCTATGCTTCTGAAAGCATTTCTAAACGTAACGGAGACGTTGCCATGCAAAAAATGCCGGTACGATGCTTTGTTAACAAAAATTAAAAAAACAAATCTTAAGAATTTAGAATACCGAATGTGAATATTCGAGTGTATGCTTGCGAAAGAGAAAAAACAATTTTACGTTGAGATATGGTTTGAAAGATACAGGGGTTGCAGTTACAGAGGGATATTTAAAACAAAAAAAAAAAAAAAAAAAAAAAAACGGAACAAAAAGAAAAAAGCGAAACGCTTTTGTGCACGATAGTGGGCTCAACTTCATTATTTAAATAAATAAAAAAAAGAAGAAAGCAACAAAAAGCCCCTTCGAATCAAGAAAGCACACCCAAGGGGCGCACTCATATTAATTTCTAGCTGTGTATTTATCAGTATGATATATGCTATATATAAATACATAACACTAAAATAATTGAAAAACGACTGTGATATCGAACGACGTGACATTCAATTTCCACGCGAATTGATTGAAAACGAACAATTAACGGAATAACAAGTACGTTGAAATGTTAATTAAAATGTAAATCGGTATTGAATGTCGGGGGAAAAAAAAGGCTTTTGCCGAGCTCAGAGAGAGAGAGAGAGAGAGAGAGTTCTCGAGCTTGGAAACGCGGAATATTAAGTCGTTAACAAGTAGATACATTACAAGACAACGGTGGCTGTTGTCCGATCGGGGAGGGCTGAACGCTAGCTCTTGACTAGGTCCTTGACCAGGACCCACATAGGGCATTGTTTCTGCTTAAAAAAACAAAAAAAAAAAAAGGGAAAGAAGGAAAATTTAAACGCGCATTAAATGATGTATGTGTATAGATGAAGCGTGACGCGAGCTCGCGACTCATTTGCCGATTAAAAAAAAATAATAATAATAATGACGTGGTGTTGGTAGGGCTTTGTAGAATGTCGATATCGTTTTCATGCAAAACACACACATCGGATTCTCATCCAGTCTCTAAACTACGTGGAGGAAAAAACAAAAAAAAGTACAAATTCGATTTGCGTCACAACCGACACAGGATTTTTAGACAATGTCATACCTGTTATATTACTAGATTTTAAAATAGTGCAATCGCGTGCGTGAATCGTATGCCGTGTGTGTGTGAGACCGTGGACCAAAGTGTGAATGCCCCTCTCGCTGAGGGAGGGGGCGGGGAAGGGGGGAAAGAGCGATAATTATTTCATCTAGAACATTTCATGGAGATATTAGTGTGTTATAAACAAATTATAAGAAAACAAAACAAAAATAAAAAAAGAGTATCGTTGGCTTCCGACTGCGGTGCGAGTGTTCTCAAACTTTTTAGATACGATTCGTCATCGAGGCTAATATATCTGGTCTCGGAGGCCCTGCCAAGAAACATTACCGAAGAGAAAACAAAAAAAAAAAAAAAATTCCTTTTTAGATGGTGATATATATACGTCGATTTTCTCTCGATGACGCTTCTCGCGTCATATCGAACCGATGATACGTGTACGACCGGTTGACGACGACAACGCAGACTGGCGCCGTATGATGTTGTTTCACGCGTAATCACTTTGCGGGAAAATGTCGGTTCCGAGACTGGTATTTCGTACAAGAGCAAAACTCTTTGCGCGTGTCTTCTTTTTCTATTTTTATTTTGTACAATTTTTTTTCTCTTTTTTTTTACAAAGTGACGAGAGAAGAGGCATCGATGGACGTTGGATTTTAAAGAGATTTCGTGCAGCGAGTTTTTTCGCAAAAACAATTTTGGTTTTTCTTAGCAAAGCGAAAGTAAAGAAATTTATAAATTTGTTGATAAATTGCAGAGTGTTGTTTTTGAATGTTAGAAGGTCTGGTAATCTTCATGTGTTTAACTCTCGAATGTGCAATGTAATGTTTGTTACGACGTAAATCTGCTAATTGCGTTTTGTTTTGTTTTTTGTTTTTTGTTTTTTTCTCAAACTTCTCCATTTGAGAGAGAACACACACGCGCATTCACGATTTAAGATCCAACCGTACTGTTGATGCGTTAGTTGCGAATGTGCGAAAAAAAATCTTAAAGTTACAACATTGTGTTAACATTTCAGGTAGAAATTGAACTCCGAAGTTTTTTTTTCTTTTTTTTTCTTTTTTTTTTTTTTTTTTTTTTATTTGATATGCGATCTGGCAACACAAGACTTTGAAGTACTCTCACGTAGCGGTTATTTAATCGTAAAATTCATTAACGAGCACCGCGACGGATCGTATATATAAAATCACAAAAACAAAATCAGGCAAAATAAAGGCAAAATTAAAAACGCGTCTTTTAGGTGCTTTGATACTGTTTTTTGTATTTTATTTTATTTTATTTTTTTTTACTTTTAAATAACAAATCAGAATCTTTGCGTCTCCGTGCGAGATGGCAGGTATCGAAGATTTTCTACGTACGGCAGTACTTCAAAATCTGAACATTCCAGTCAGTGTGTCTTCTTCTAGTTAAAAACACATTGAGATTGATTAACAAACCTTTCTCCAATGTATATTCACGTTTCGTACATCTCGAAAAAAAACCAGAGATTCCGTCTATCTGAAGATTTTTGAAAGAAAAAAAAAAAACTCGCATATTCTTCTAATGTTGTGAAATTCAGTTCGTTCGTGACGCGTCGCGCGCGTTACGTGTGTGTGTGTTATTTCGCGTGTAATAATCGGTCTTGTGGATGCATTTTTCCAAAAAAAAAAAAAAAAGAACAAAAAAGATATTTTCTGTTGCAACTAAACATGGTGGACACAGAATATTTGAGACAGCGTCGTGCCACGCTGTTTGTTTTGCACTCTCTCAGGAGTATCCTTCGCGTTCTCCGTTCTCTCACAGAGCTTGTGATGTCAAAACGACGACAATTGTCATCTCGAATATCATCACCATTGGCATGATATTGATAATATATCACTCTTTTATGTTGAATAATCAGTTCGTACAAACGAAAAAAAAAAAAAAACGAGCTCTTGCCTTGTTATAGAAATTTCAACACAAAAACGCGCGATGTGCATTCGATTTTGGAAGTTGTTGTTGAATGTTCCTAACGAAATATATATAGTCACAGATGTCCACCGTGTAGCTGTTATGACATACGTGTTGTGTAAATTAACACTGCGATACACTGAGTTTTTTTTTTTTTTTTTTTTTTTTTTTTTTTTTTTTTTTTTTTTTTTTTTTTTTTTTTTTTTTAAGCGTTATTAGCGTATTTAAGGGGAAAGAGTTAGAAAAAAACACGATGTAATAAAAAAACGAATTACTATTTATTGATTTAGTATTTATTTTCTACGTTTATGTGATGTATACGTGTTTCTTTTTTTTTTCGAAGGAGAGCGAACACACAGTGAAATGAAACTTTTTTTCTGTGCGTAATGATGTTTTTCTGTGTCAATGTTTGGTCCTCTGAAGAATATCGGACGAGCAGCCTTATATATAGGGAAGAAAAACAAAACAACTTTACGGATATATATTATACAGATATATATATGTATACAGAACGGAACGATCACACGAATGAGATTAATTTAAAAAAAAAAAAAAAAAAGAGTATATTGCAACAAGAAGAACAAAAACACAAAACAAAAAAAAAACGAAAGAGGGGCTTTGTTATATAAAAATATCAATCGCGCGGACGAATCAGTTTTCGTCTCGAGGAAAAATTAAAAAAAACGAAAGAAAAACAAAGTATAACGTTTGACTGTGACTGCAATCATTACTGAAGGGAATGAGGAAATTTTTCGCGAGGGGGGGATTAATTAAAAACAAAAAAAAAATAAAAAGACAAGAAGAACACACATTTACACATTGTAAGCCGTATCATGAGATGCGGACGCGCGCGCGATATAATTGATTTATATTACGCGCGTTCCGCGCGCCGGCGAAGTGTCGCGGCAAAGAGCGACGGGGAGAAATTGTTCACGTGCGAGTAATAGTTTCTTGTATTTTTTATTATTTTATACACATTATTATGCGCGCGGTCGATGGGCGATTTCCGACGACGCTCGTCGGGGAGGATCGGGTGCGTGTGCTCTTGACGCGTGTATGTTTCTCTTCTTGAAGATGTCGGAGATGTACACAACACTCATACACACACACACACACACACATACACTTCGTATAATGTGTAAAAAGAATTTTAAAACGAAGAAGAAACACGCGTGACGGCACACGCACGACGTGTTCTCGCAAGAGCGCCAGCGAAATGGGATGGCAAAAGAAATGTCTTCTAACTTGTTCCGAATGTTTCGATTTTGTACGAGGATCGTCGTGCGTATGAAGTAAGAAACGGAAAACAAAACGAAAAAAAAAAACAAAAAAAAAAAACCGGCAAGGTGCAAGAGAAAAAAAATGCGTGATCTAGTATTACGCGTGTGTATATAAAATATGGCGTAACGTATAAGATAGCGAGAACATGTACACAAGCGTGTTGTAAAAAAAACGTTTGTTAAAAAACAAAGCAGCTCTGCGTGCGACGTTCCTCGCGCGTTATTTGTAACCGTAATGATACTGCTATAACGTTTAACTTCACACTCGAACGGTGATCTCTCTTCGAGCGAAAGAAGAAGAGAGAAAGAGAGAATCTTAAACGGAACGGTGGACGCGTACCATTCTGTCGGTCTCTTATTTAAGTGATTTGCGACATTTTTACGCGCTAAAGTAGAAAGAGAGAGAGAGAGAGAGAGAGGAGGAGAGGGAGAATATTACGAAAATTCATAAAAGATCGAAGATATGTGTAAATTCTCGGGAAAGAAAAAAAAACAAACCGTTGTACGGCCATATTATATGTGTGCGTATATGAATAACATATTATATATATATATAAAAATATGATATTGGATAAAAAATAAATTTTTAAAAACACTCGAAAGAGCATCTCGCGGAATTCTCACGCGGAAGAGAAATTCGATACGAGTTCGATTCGAAGATTTTCAAAAGAACAAAAAAATTGAAAAACAATTTTTTTTATTTGTGCGTGTCGTACAACACACTTGTGTCGTTTCATCAATTAGCAATAAGTTGCCGCGATCGTACGTGCGTTGTCGCGCACGAGGGCAAGCTCGTGTTTCCGCATGCGTAGAGATTTGTATACACGCGTATGCTCGGTGAAGAATGATGTGTAGAGTGTCAATATTGTTACAACAAAAAAACAAAAAAAAAAACAAAAAAAAAAAACAGAAAAACAAAAAACAATACCTCATACGGGACGATCACGTATTTAATTCGATGTTCTTTCATTCTGATGAATTTTTCCGTTCGTTTCTAGTATTATGCGAGAGAAGAGAAAAAGTGACAGGAGACTTCTATACAAAAATGAATATAATAAAGATTAAAAAAAAGAAAAGAATTAACAGAAAGCTGTCTTTTTTGTTATATTTGAACCCTTCTTCTCCCTTCGTTCGATTTAAAAAAGAACAAAAGATCTACGTTTCTAATCTTCCGCGGAGATTATTCCGTTGAAAGAGAACGAAGGTTTTTCCGCTTCGACAATTATCGAAATTTAATTAATTTTCCACCGATGAGTGAAAAATTAAAGTTGATAACTTAATAAATTTTCCAGTTGAAAATAAACGGTAGTAGAAAATCAATAAGTCACCGATCGCTCTCAGTCGAATTGTGAAAGATTCGTGTGACTGTTGAAGGTCAAACTCTTGTTTCTCTTTACGTTCTCGTTGGGGAAAAAGGACGAGATCGATTCGAGATATTTCGAATGAGAAAAATTTCTCTCGATCTCGCAACACATTGCTCCCAACCGATTGAAGCAAATGTATCCACGACGCGGATATATCCCGTGAACACACGTGGAACGTTTCGAAGCATCTATGGCGCGATCGGGATCTTATTCGCAATTGCTCTTGCCTCGCGGATGATGGGGGAAGCGTTAAGCCAATCGCGTAAGACCACGATCGCAATGGCGGCGTGGCTGAGCAATTTTGTGTTATCCGGTGGTTAGATGTCAGTTTTGGTCGGTTTGTCGGTGGTGAGGTCGAATTAAGTTGCTTTGTTTATCGTTGATCGATGTGCTCGATCTTTCCCTCAGTCATGCACTATTTTCTGGTGGTTGCATTGTTGGATTTAACCTTCGACGGTACGTGTTCCTAACCTTGTTCGATTAGATTAAAAAAAAAAAAAAAAATAAATGAGCGTGACACCTGTGTCGCACGTACGATTGATTGATATGATAACGGCTGTTTTTCTCAGCGGTGGGAAGTGTTACTCAGACAGAGGTCAACAGACACCTGGAACTCGGTAGGGAATTTTTGGCAAAAGGTCAGCTGCAGGATGCCCTGTCGCATTATCACGCGGCTGTTGGTAAGCTTCTTCCATCAGTTTGTAGCGATCAGAAAGAACAAGTGCGATTTTTGAGCGTGTAGCGCTAGAAAAAAAAAAAAAAAAAAAAAAATAACATGAAATGTGAAATGTTTCAAATGTTTTCCAGAGGGCGATCCAACAAATTATTTAACGTACTACAAGAGAGGCACGGTTTATTTAGCGTTAGGCAAAGCCAAGTTCGCCCTCCTTGATCTTGACAGGGTTTTGGATTTACAGCCGGACTTTATACCAGCAAGACTGCAACGTGGGAATATCTTACTCAAGCAAGCTCGCTTCGATGAGGCTGAATTGGACTTTAGAAACATTGTAAGTTTATCTTTTATCCCACTTTGCGTGAACTATCGTGTGTGTATTAATTGACATTGATTACATGTGGGAATTCATGTTGTTTCTTTTGTTCCAGTTGGCTATAGATAACTATAACAGAGATGCCTTGGATGCCTTAGAAAAATTATTCACTGCTAGGGAAGAGATGCATTACATCGATCCACATGTGAAAGCGGGTGATCACTTAGCAGCTATACAACTGATTACTCGAATTCTTGAGACATGTCCGTGGTCATCTAGTCTTAGAGAACGCAGAGCGGAGATTCACGTCATTCTTGGAGATTACATGAGCGCTATATCCGACATACGTTCGACCACGAAGTTGTTGTCTGATAACACGGAGGGATTTTTTAAACTCGCAGTCTGGCTCTATCGTCTTGGACAGGTTGACGAGGCGTTAAAGTGAGTAATTTTAGTCGTGAGAATGATTGCCGATCACTTCGTGAAATACAGAAATTAATTCAGCAAATAAATTTATTGTATAGGGAGATTCGAGAATGTTTGAAACTCGATCCGGATCACAAGCAATGTTTCCCGTTTTATAAGAAGATCAGAAAGATCGCCAAGTTGCTGCAAGACACCGAGACGGCATTAGAGGACACGAGGGATTATGACGCGTGTATTGATTCGGCCCAGCGTGTGTTGACGCAAGAGCCAAAAGAGCGGAACGTACGGTTCTTAGCTTTCCAGTTTCTCTGCAAATGTTACGCGGACAATTCGGAAGCGACTAAGGCAATCAATAATTGCAAGGAGGCGTTGAAAATAAAGAAAGAAACGGTTATCCTCTGCGATAGTGCGGACGCGTATCTTGCCGCAGAAATGTTCGACGATGGTAATTTCACACATCTCTCTGACTTATGTGATTCTTGCGCTGAGAATAACAAAAAGTATATAACGCGATGAATCAATTTTTTTTTCTTTTCTCTTTTTTTTTCATAGCTATCAGAGACTACAAAGAGGCGTTGGAAATCGATCCGAATCTTCAGAGAGCCAAACAGGGATTGCAAAAGGCGCAACAACGTCAGAAGCAGTCGGAATCGCGGGATTACTATAAAATTTTGGGCGTGTCGAGAAACGCGAACAAACGCGATATCATCAAAGCGTATAGAAAAGCGGCGCAGAAGTGGCATCCCGACAACTTCCAGGAGGGTGACGAGAAGAAGCGCGCGCAGAAGAAGTTCATCGATATCGCTGCTGCCAAAGAGGTCCTCACGGACGACGAGAAGAGAGCGAAGTTCGATCAGGGCGAGGATCCACTGGATCCGGAATCGGGTCGGCACCCGCAACAGGGTTTCAATCCCTTCCAGGAGTTCCATCATTTCCACGGGTCCCCCTTCCAGTTTAAGTTCCACTTCAATTAAAAAAAACATGCCACAAAAAATCTCGTCGTAAATAGAATAATTTACCGTTTCGCAAATCTTAACGCTTGTCACTTTGAACGTCGCGGCGAATATCTCCACTTCGCTGGAATTGTTGAATTCTTCTGTGGTTGAAGATCGCGCGTGTTTATAGTTTGATACGACTTGAGGGAAAGGGGGGGGAGAGGTTGCACTCGATGTCCGAACTCGTCAAGTTAACAAATACTATCCAGTGGCCATCTTGGCGACATCGAACGACGGTGAGGCTGTTCTCGGCTCGTGCTTAACAAAAAGTGGAGATAAAAACATCCGAAGAGGTGTGAATACCTCTGGTAAAGAGGTACTTTATAGTGTTCTGCGCGCCAAAGTCATTTGCACAGACTGCCGATATTACATTGCTGCGTTTTCGGTGTACAACAAAAAAGAAAAGAAAAAAAAAAAAAAAACGCGGTGTTGCAATGTCTCTTATGCAGTTTTCGCGAATTTCCTTGACGCGGCGTGCATACACGCATACAGACTGAATAACGGATATCTATTCGCATCAATTTTTCGTCGCGTGTATTTTTATCGTCTACTATCTCGATCTGTATCACTGATACAATTTGTGATCGTTCCCGCGAGTACAAACGTGAGTGTGTAACGGTGATCAGATCGCGCCGCCACTGATTTGACTTCAGTGGCCGTTGGGTTCGTCTTTTAGCTCGAGAATATGTAACAATTAGATGTAAAATCGAGTAAATTTCCTAAAAGACGCGAGCTCTTATCGAGTACGAATACGTTCAAGATTGTATTTATAGCGGTGTAACTTTTTTCCGTTCTCTTTTCTTTTCTGCGAAATATTCGTACCCGATAACATATTTATATATATATATATGTGATTAAGAAAAAAAAAAAAAAAAAAAAAACAAAAATAAACGATGCTGTGCGCGCTTGTCATGAGGTCGCATGAGTGTGAGCGTGAACTCTTATTGCAAGTGTAAATAATGTGTATCTCTGATATTTGTTTAAAAATATATTGATTAATTTATATAGATATATCTCGGTAGATATTATTAAAAAGTGTGTGTGTGTGCGAAGAGAGCGCAAAAAAGAGAATCTCTTTCCAATATAATATTAAAAGTTTTTCGTTGTTTACTTACGCAAAGATTGTGTTTTTTTTTTTTTTTTTTTTTTATCCAAACATTTTTTTCTCACTATAGATCGCGTGCTATATCTCTTTCTTTTCAAGGTTATCTCGTTACTTTCCTCGCTTCGCTCCTTTTTTCTTCTTCTTCCGTTTTCCCAATCTCCGTAGATATTTGTACTTCCCCAATTTGTTTCTGACCATGAAACCTCTCCACAGCGACTGAATAATCGTTGCGGCTTCGTTCAATCTCTCGCGACGTCTCGCTTCGTTGTACAATCTCGTCTCTTCGTCGATCAGTTCCCGGCCGTCTTTCTTCAAAGTACGCATCATCTTTATCTCGAATTGTTGATCTTCTATTAGTCTCTGCGGTGCGGAAAACGGAGCTGTTTAAAAGCTGATATCGGCGCGCACTTGCGTGACATATTTCAAAAGTGGATATTACTTCACTGCGTTTTTTTTTCTTATTAATTAATTCGTTAATATTCACACGCGCGTACTCTCAGCTCGTCTATTTCCTGCTGCCGTTCCTCAATCTCGTCGTTATATTTCCCCGTCCACTCGATTATCCGCTCTTCCTTCTCCTTGATATCGTTTTCCACGTGAACGTTTATTTCTGCCGAGATGATTTGTTCCGCGTTATATTCCTTCGAACAATCGCTCAGTTTGTTCAACATGTTCATCTTTTCCAAGTACAGTTTGAGCTCTTGTTGCTCCAGTCTGGCGTTCGCCCATTTTTCCGTGTAATCTAAAAATATCGTTGGAATATATCATAAAGAGCGCGAAATTGTTTCGTACATTCGTCGCGAATACGAGTGTGTAATTCTCTACCTAATTTTCCGCTGTTCAAGAATAACGCTTGGTCAACTTGAGCGTCGGTTTCTTGCGCGAGTCTTATTGTTCTTAATCTGTCGTCTTCGTTCGCTCGTCCGTCGGATTCGAGCAATTCCCGAAGCTGCTCAGCTTGGTTGTGCCACATACGCGCGCTCGCTTTCAGATTACGTTCGCCTTGTTGTTGTTTTGCAATGTTATTTATTTCTTCCCGCAGACTGTCGAATCTTCTGTTTTCTTTTAGGTCGCGAAGAACTTTCTCGAGGACCTTGTACACGTAGTTTCTACATGCAGGAAGTTGATCGAGGATGAATAAATGTGTAAATTAAGAATTGGGTTCTCGCGCTTGTGTATATATAACTATATATATATTTATAACTATATAATACAAATATTGCAAATTCTTGAATCAAAGACATAGATTTATAAAAAATTATTACATACATATATAAATTTATTTATTTATATACAATTGTTATAAATATATTTATATATATTTTTTATATCAAAAGATATACGAAGTATATATCTTTTATATGTTTTTAACTTGAGAATTTGTAATTTTTGTTTAATAGAACGAAAAAGTGCAGAGCAAAAAAGAGATTTACGTCTTTTGTTTATTCTCCGACATTGTGTCAGCGATTTTTATATACATTTGATGATCTATGCGCGCAGAAATTTAATTTATTTTTTTTGCAGCAAGTCACGAATATGTATACGCGCATATGTTTGTGCACCTGTCCCTCTGCATCTTTTCAGCCTCCGTGGGCACGATCGGCAACAAGCCCATTTCTTCCCTGAAGATCGTTACAGGCTCGTCGGGCGCTCCGTAAATCTTGTCGACCGTCTTAAACGAATCGTCCCAGCGTGAATCGACACCGGCTGGTATCGTGAATCTGAGTATGGCGAGCTGATCTAAACATTCCACGAGCACGTGCGATATAGCGGTTGCCTCGAGCGATGTGAACGAGTCGATCGGCGAAACTTCCATCTGCATAGTCTTCACGCTGACGTTTTCCGGAGCTGCTTTCTTCGACGGCATTGTGCCCGCAGGTAAATCCGATGCAGGTTCAGTCAGACGTAACTGAACAGTAAATATCTATATTTTGTACGTAAGAACACAATGCAATGACGGTGTCGGAAATGACTGAGATCGTCATCATTTCTCGATGGATTATTTTTTATATTACTACAAAAACAAAAAAAAATTTAATTTTGTGTCTAATGTCTTATTGCGATTTTTTTATTCTCTTTTTTTTCAAATTAAATTTTCTGTTTTTGTTTCACCTTGGGCCGTAGCTCGTGTGTGACTGCGTTCAACGCAACTGGATTGATCGGCGAGGAAACTTTAATATTTGCTTTGTGACCAATATTTTTTAAAGTCGCAGGATTCTCAAGTGGAGTTTGCTGATCTAGTTCCTCTGCATTTTTAAGATCAATATTCGTCTAATTCGTATTTATTTTAAATTTAAGTAACTTTTGCAATTTTTCACATATGTGTATATTTAAAATATCAATTACAATAACGAGGGATCTTTTTTGCTAAAACATTACGTTACTTTCTTATCTCTGATATCCAGTTTAGAGACCTTCTCGAAATTCCGCATGAATGTGACAGCGGACTGATTCACCGTTTTCTCGATGGTATGTTCATTCACTGACGCTTCGTCGAAGAGAATTACGCGTCTACGAGCTTGCCGAGCGGTTATCGCGGACAATTTATCGAATGTATTATCCCGTTGACACAATTGCACGTCGTTTAACACTTCCATCTTCATTTATTTACGCTGGCACATAAAGCAAACTACCGGTTGCACATTTTATAAGCTATTTTATATTTTATATTTTAAAAAATATCACACGCTTGACAAATTTTATCGAAGGTTGACAAGATTATTGTTACACAAAACTCTTTTCTATTTACCTTGATTTTCTTTTTGTTTTTATTTTTTTTCATCAATTAATATATCAGCCAGAAATATACAGAGTGTGAGCGTGCAATATATTGGCACGGAAATCTTACGTTTTATCTCGTCCCAAGTCATGTTGTTCAATTTACACTATTTGTGTGACATTGCTGAAAATTTAAAAATTATATAAGTCATTTCAAAACAAAGAAACATCGTTAAATGCAATTTCAAGCCTATACACACACACACACACATACACACATACGTATATATGGCTGTATTTTATAAGCAAGAGAATGTAAGATTAATAGTATCGTATTGAAAATAAATGTATATTTATTAACAATGATACATCTCATTTACATAAACATACATATCTTATAGGAATTAAATATTTTTTAATTTAACATTAGCGGAAATATATCTGATGTATTTCTGAACACATAGTTGTTCTAACGACTATTATTTGTGGAGGATTTTTATTCATCAAAAAAAATATTTTTTACGATCTAATTATATTCTTATACATTTTACACATTTATTTATTTACACTTGTCTCGCAAGTGTTGTTTTGATGCACAAGTTTAGAGGAAACTATTTTTTTTTTTTTTTTTTGATGAGAGATAATTTAGGGGTAGAGAAAAGGCTGATAAAAAACTACAAACTATATAAAAAAATACTGATATAAGAAATATAATAAACAGATTTAAAGATATAGAAATATAATAAACAGATTTTTAAAGATATTTCGCAAAGAAAAAAGAAAAAAAAAGAGGAAGACAAAATAATATCAATTTTAAATTAAGAGATGTATAAGTTTTGCATGAGTTCCTTTTTCGCACTTGGTTGTGTAAATACTTTCACATTTTTTACATGTATCCCTAAAGTTTCGTTGCTAATTGCATATCTTAAATAAATTCGTTAATGCATTATAATAAAAATCTCATTGAAAATATAATTAAATATTAACGATCTAAATGGCATTTTCTCTTCAAATCTCTTTTTCGCAATCTAGTTGCGCAAAAGCACAATATTTCTTTCTATGCGCACATTTAATCGTCTAAAAACCAAATACTAATGAAAAACCTAGCAATTTCTTAAACTACCTAACGAGTGGTTTCACGGCTCAATAATACTTTTCTTGAGGTAAACTGCTCAGATTCTCTGCTTCGTTTTCTACACTATATGCGATGTTTTCATTACACAACATAAAATACATCACTTTACAATATTGTCATAGTATTGTTAATTCTCTCGTTTTGTTCAACGTGTGATATGTGTGATTGTAACGTGTGTGTATATGTGTGCAAAAACATCGTATAGATTTATATGTCCGTCAACTCTATCGTGTTTACATACATTTCAGTGCAAATGAGCTGTAACTACGCAGCTGCAAGACAAACTCTAATTAACGGTTGTAATTAACGGTGATCGATAGAGTCATTATTATTAGTTACGCGTACACACAACGTAAGTATGAACACGTAAATAACAATATTGACATTTTCCGTGGGACAAATAGTCGACACTTGTAGATTCTACATTACGACGTTGAATACATCACGGCAAATACTATGTTAGCGTTCTCTTTCTCATCGTCAAAATATAATCTCGATGTACTTTTGATTGTACGCTCTTCTAAAAAAAAGCGATTCTTACTCACGTACGAACACGACAAAAATATTTATTTCGTTTTTCCTCTAGAGATATTTGCGCGTCTGATACTTTACACGAAGTAACTCGTGTACTCGTGAGGCATCACACCTCTTCTAGGATAAAAGGTGTGACTCGTGGAGTATTCTAAGAGATTCGTGATCGAGCTCATGTAGATGTCGGCAAATCTAAACAGTCTTCTGGAAAAGTAAGTCGGATTGTGATACGTTCGAAACACCGAGCCGAATTGCTTGTTGAAGACGGACTTGATCTCGTTTCTCAATTGGTCCCGCTCCTTCATCCACTCGTCCAGCACGTCCTGCACGTCCGGACCCTCGTAATCCTGATGTTCCTCGATCAGACCGGTTAACATTTGCAGCCAGTTCGCGTTTTCCTTGAACTTCGGATCGTTCAGAGTCTCGATTTCGTGCTGCAATATGCGCAACTTGACGTGTTGTTGATTTGACGTTTAATTAAATTTTAGAAAGAATTGAAAATAAACATTCACGCTACCGTCAATTCCTGGATTATAGCTCCCGTTCGCCAGCCGTGCTCCAACGTCACATCCGCCAAGTCGCTGTAAGGATGATCGCCGAAATACAATACCTGATGCCCTCGCCATTCGGTCATATCTTGAAGCTGTTTCACCGTTCCCTAGAGCGAGGAATTCGCGATGGTTAACCATATTGGCTGTGTTCGCGTCTTGTCCCGTTGTACACACAGAGTGCGCACAAGTGTCATCCACTTTTACGACACGGCAAACACGGGCGCGCAATTTATATAATATTGTAAATCTAAAAAAAAAAATCGAGAAATATTACACCAGAGAGTATACCTCGAGATATATGACGCCCTTGTTGAGTTTGGTGACCCGATCCCACAGTTGCGTTTTGTTAACTTCGTCATAGATTCTCAAGGGGCGCGACTCATCGGTGAAGAACTTCGGTTTTCTCGCTTGAACGATCACCACGTCGAAATAATCCTTCCAATTATCTCCGACTAAAAATTTCATACCCTTGTCTCTGTAAGAAAAAAAAAAAAAATAAAAATCAAGTTGTTGTACACGCAAAGAGCGTGTGTTTTCACTCTAATTAAAATTACGCACACAAAATGGAAAGGACTGTTCGTGACCAGGAACATTTTCTTGTTGACATTTCGTAGCCGTTCGAAAAATCGCCTCAGATCTTTATTTTGTTCCAAGTACTCGGACACATTTTCTTCCACCAGCCGATGCATTATAGGATGGCAGGTTTGCACAGAATTCTAGATATTGCGTGAGAAGCATTGTAAAAAAAAAAATAAAATTACGTTAATTCAATGCGCGCGTTACCTTGACGTCTCTAAACAGTATTTCCGGGTGATAATCGATGTGATTTCGTATAAAGTATTCCGTCACATTGCACATGAGTCCCATTTCCGGTACCGAGAACAAATCGGCTAACTGAACCATTTTGGTTTGCTGCAAACCGTCCTTGAAGAAGAAAACAAACAAATATGTAACGTTACCTCGTCATCGTTTCACGGAGTTTCTATACGTATCGCGCAAGCAGGTGCGTCTATATAAGCTTACCTTCTGCATGTCAGATAAGTATGGTGATACACATGTGAACACACAGAGAAAGTTGGACATTTAATATATTGAAACTATTGTTTACATATACGCGCTGTGGCGTTAATAAAAAAAGAGAAGAACTAGCGCGTCATGTATTTTTACACATTACGTATCATTCGATTTGTTGAAGTGTCTTTTGTTTCTCGGAGGAGACGAACTTACGTGAGGGTGTTTGTGCGCCTCCACGTACGCAATCGGCATTATTCTGTTCTTGTAAATTCGAAGGACCTCGTCGTCGGGAACGCGATGCAAACCGCGATAAACGGTGCCCAATTGAATTTGCAAGAAGCTGTCGAGTTTCAACAAGAGACCTTTTTCGATGTCGTAATGAAGGCCGCGAACGGCGAAGTCTTCCCTGTACTTTAGATCAGCAATGCCCTCCGGATACTGGTGGGACAATTAAAGACGAGTTTAAACGGAGTTCTCAGAGAAAATGGAATTCTCTTTTAATCGGTGTAATTGTTTTTTTTTTTTTTTCTGGCACAAATTCCGCTCATCTTTGAAATAAAGACAAAAGTCGCGAAGTTTGGCGCGCGCGTGTATGTGTGTATTTTATTTTTAAGATAACTTTATCAATTTCGCGATAAAACAGAAACTTATAAGAAACTCTATAGTTCAAACAGCTACGTTGGTTTAAATACGAAACGATTTTTCCTCACACAAAGACACGATTACGTTTAACTTAATTATTTATAAAAAAAATGTTGACAGAACCTTATACTTTTTAATGAGCATGTCACGTCCCAGATTGTAAAGAAGGTAGTCTAAAGACGGCTTGTAACACGCCAGCGTGTAATCGTAATCGAATCCATAGACCTGGACCTCCTTCAAGTCAAGCTCGTTGCAAGCGAACACACCTTTGGGATTTACATCTTGAGGAAGTTTTTTTGCTAAAAAAAAAAATTGCAGTGATACGATTGTTAAGTGAGAGAAGAGGCTTTGTCTAAATATTTTCTCTAAAGTCTCTCTAAGAAAAAAAAAAAAAACCTTCCGCGCGCAATTGTGACGTGATGTGTAACAAAATAATTCACACAATTGGAAAATAAATGTGCAAACTCGTTTGTTTGACGCATTTCAACTTCTGGCGCGCGTCGTTCGTTCGATCTTTAATTTTTTCGCGAGTTCAAGTTCCAAATTGGAACGACACGTGTGGAGCGCGCGAACGGCTATTATTTCTTCAGACTTTTTAAACGGGCAATCAATTTGTGCGATGCTCTCGTTTCGTTCTACTATAGACGCGCGGATAGGAACTGATTTTCACTGTCCTAGATTTTTCTGTCTATATTCGTCTCTCCTTTCGTCGTACCGTGAGAGAGAGACCTCTGATCTAAATCGTCTAATCTCTCAATCTCTCTCTCTCTCTCTCTTTCTCTCTCTCTCTTTTTCTCTGTCCACGCTCTCTTCACGCCACCTTTCACGATCGTCGCGAATTAATTAATTAAGACGATTATTAAAGGAACGTAAATGTCGTGAAAAAAAAAAAACAATTATAGCGAATTTCTTGATGAATTATTTATATACGTATACTTTTACGCGGCTACACGTTTGTAAATTTCAAGCCTCTCACATTGCGACGATAATAATAAATATAACATGAAATTGTTAAAGATAGTTGCTTTCTTTGAGACAAAGTCTTTAAATTGCAAAACGAACGCAGGTTCTTCTCACGCCGCGATAAAAATTGCACACGAGTATGCATCCAACACAAACGCTGTTTTTCTTGGCAGTATATCTCTCGCGTTTCTTTATAATTATAATATTTTTTGGTAACAACATACGTTTGTATATACCGTGATTTTATAATATACAGACAGATTTAAAAACACGTACGTAACGTATCTGTACTTTGAATCGCGGCAAAATTATTCGCGACAAATAAACGTAAGAGAATGACAATATTTCAATATTCGGTTCAGTTCTATTAAATGGAACAGAAATTTATTTTGCGTCTGCACTTTTCAAAGTGCGTGTAACCCGTATAATATTTGGCGGAGCGTCAAGTATTCGCCGACGACGAATTTTCGTCATCGCTGCCGATGACGAAAACACATATCTCTCTTACACGCTCTTCGAAATTTATCACCCCCACTCCGAGCACCGGATTAAATATCTGCGTAATAACCTTTCCTTCTAAAAGCGCGTAACGGCGTTGAATTTCGAGCGCACCCTCTTTTTCCCGCCGTCCTTCCCGAAGAAGGATGAGACGACGACGCACGTGTCAAATTAATTTCCTCGCGCCGCTCGTGTCAAGGTCGAAGAAGTGTTCCCCTATCGATACATCGAGAACGCGCCAAGAGTGGCGCGCATGCGCGCGGCGACGAGGACGCACACATCGCGCGCTGAATTTGCCACAATACGTCGGAGCGAGATGGCGAGCGCTGACGGACGCCGACGCGAAATGGCCTTAGCGCTAGCGGGATGGCGCATGCATACTCACACTTGCACTTCTCGAGTATTCTCAGGTAATTGTCGTGCATGACTTCGCGCGATACTTGACCACGACTGGCGGCGCGATCGCCCATCGACCGCGCGGACACTCCATCGGAATCGGCGGCGTGTCGTAACCACGCAAACGGCGATGTTTTAGCGACGCGGCAGGACGTTGCGACAGTTCTCGCGTGGAACATCACGGACGATTGGCGGGCGCGCATAGCAAACCACCGCGACGCCGAACGTCGATTGGCGCAACGAACGAGCGGCCGATTTGAATCGACGCAACGCGATCATCTCGCGTCGTCCTTCATGATTGGACGACGCGAGTAATCGGACGGAGTGAAGTTGCGAAATATAAAAGGTCGCGAATTTTCGGCGCGTCTCTCCTTTTTCAACGGCGCGTTTACGCGCTTCGTTATTGTCTCTCTGTTCTTGTTTTTATTGCTCGTTAAATGAAAAAAACAAAGACAGACCGATCGCAAATTGAACACAAAAATTGACGCGTCCGCCGCCATTTAAAATAAATGTATTTCGATGTATCGAACGAAACGCAATTGGCGCGCGACGGCGCACGCGCCGAAGAATTCGACATCATCTCGATCATCGATAATACGCGTTTCGATATGTGTAACTTCGTTGCGTATTTTATATGCCGAAGATAGCTTCATTCATAACGGCTTCATTGAGCTTCATTTGCAGCTGCGCACACATCTCTGCGGTCGATTGGCGAAATTGCTTGACTACGTAAGCTATTTACCGCGCGCGGCAATGATCGCGGATGATAAGCGCCAGGGTACGTGTGTATCTTCTCAAACGCAGCAAGTATCCTCGACCTAATCACGCAATCGCTTTCCGTTTCGCTTTCGGAGAAACGGTTTCAGAAGGAGAAAACATTTTTGCGCCAAAAAACATTCGAGTCGATTAATTTTCTACTTCCACACACTCTGTTTTCTGATCCCACCGTCTCTTAACGTCTCTTCCAACGTGATTTCGATCGCGTTAAATGCACCGAGAAATGTTACGTACTTTCTTTACTTTTTATATCTTCAAGTTGCACGGACTTAAACTTTTTTTATTCGGCAATTCCAAGCTATCGAAACACTTTCCGCGATATACGTAGCGTTTTATCGAACGAGAGTAATTAGGATAGAACGAACAAATGTAGCTCTAAAAATGAATTAAGTTTTATCTAAGTAATATAATTTTTTATCTAAGCTTTAATTAGAATAGGACGAACAAATGTAGCTTCAAAAATGAATTAAATCTAAGTAATATAATTTTTTTTTACAACGACAATGAGAGCTAAGGCACAAGTTACTCGCGTATTTAAATAATCTTTAACGTGCGCAAACAAAAATTTTAAACAATTACGATCTTAGATTTCATTCTCAACGATGAGAACAAATTAATGAAAAAAAAAATGTTAGTTTGCAGAATTGTACAACGTGTAAAACACGCGGCGGTGTGTTTGAACTACCGGCGCTTCGTGCGATTACGGTAGATGTGCAATTATAGAGCTGCAATTTGCAGGTCGAACGTACAAAACGGCTGTCGGCTGTTGTTGTTGTAGAAAGTCTCCGGAATAGAGTCCGCGAATTCCGTATTTCCAAGACGCGACTTCCTTTTCCCTTTTGCTTAATATGTTACTCATGATATCCGCTAAATGGGTTAATTGCCGCACGAATTCATCCTGCGTGATTTGAATGTGGCCTGCCTGCAACGCTACCGGTCTCATGAGTTTCTCTGCGAGAAACATGGGTAAATATATATCTCTCTCTCTCGCGCGCGCGCGCGCGCACTCTTTCACAGGTTTATCCCGCGCGCAAGTTGCAACATTTCGAGAACATTCTGGGATGCTTAACACACTTTGCACCCGCGATCCTAATCGCGAGAAACTCTTCGCTCGCGCGAACGACCGTTACGAACCGAGCCGCGATTATACATCTTCGTATTTAATGGGCGATTACGTGTGCGTGCGCGCAATAGACGCGCGCGCGCGCGCGCGCGTGTCGATGGTATTATTGATTAACGATCCGGCGTTTGTGTCATCATCGGTTCGTTCGTTCGTTCGTTCGGCGCGCGTCCTGTTTCGCATTTCCGTTCCGATGCTAATGTATCGGTTTACTTTCGGACAGGAAAAGGCGGGTTATACATTTCGCAAGAAACTGTGAGAAATGATTGAACTCGAATAACGAAATCAATAAGCAAACAAATCTAAAAGCCAGAGAAGAAATTCGTAAGACCGCGGCGTTTTGCTGAATTGAACACGCACAAAAAAACGCTCATTACGTTAACTCGCGATAACAGCAGATATTACCGCAACCGTGAACCATGGTGTATTATGCGACCCAAGGGAGGAGAGGCAGGAAGGAAGAACACGCTAATTAACTGATAATTACACTGGTAATTTTCGATCTGCGTTAATCCGTTACTTAATGGCTCACACACTAATTTCCAGTTTGAAGTCATTAAGCCGATCCGTTTCTTCGCGGATCGTCGGATTTGCGAGCGCGTCGGGACTCGCATCGCGCGCGCGCGCTCGCGTTGATTAAACGCGGAGGAGTAAATGAACGAGAGTCGCGGATAAGATTACAGCCGGGCTAATTTAAGCTAGCTTTTATGCCTGATATTCTTCCTGTAGAAAAATTGATAAATCAGCTCTCCGTCTCTCTTGCAGTGTTTGAAGAAACACACCCACATAGAGATACCCAAAGTAGATACCCTAATTCAACAATTTTGTTTTATTGAATCAAGAAAACAAAAAAGAATGTAATATACAATCAGATCGTTCGAGAAACCGGAGAAACGACGCCTCTCTCTCTAAGATTCTTCTTCTAAATGCGCTTCTTGTTTCATTCTAAAGACTGTCGCGTTTCCCATCACACGGACAATTTCCTGATTCCGGATTTTATCTCGCGCTATTTTAGCTTCTTATAAGTTTCTAACAATCGCCCGTTATTTTCGTCCTTTCCTGTAGCCGGAGGTTAATTACAATCAGAGAGACTGTGTTAATGACGCGGGGAGAGAGAGAGCACTTTGTGCACGGGAGAGAAGCAAGTTTCTCCGTACGCGCGCGCGCGACGGAGGTGCAACCAGAGAGACTTGGGCGCAAAACCGTTTTAAGGTAAATAACGCATTCGGCGCTTTACTTAATGCGCTCGCAACTTCCCACGGCGTAATGCGGCATGTAATGCGCGCAGCAGCATCGGTAAGTGATTATTCATTTGTCGATGACAGTAAAGTGTTTTATAATTACATTAGACAAATTTCCATCAACACTTTGAATAAAATAAAATAAAATAAAATAAAATAAAATAAAATAAAATAAAAAAAAAAATAAAAAAATAAAAAAAATATATAATATAAAAAAAAAAAAAACAAAGAGTGGGAGTTAAAAATACTAGAAACATAAACGCTGAAGATAAAACAAAAACTGTGCACATGACACGATGTTGATTGTGTTTCACAATATACAACGCAACATGTGCGACTACTCTTCGTAACAGATATTTCAAAAATAAAATCGAACTGGATTCGAAACTATCGAGGTCGTTGAAGTTAATTTTATTTGTGGTATAACTCGCAGAAATGTATGTTTTAATGTCAAAATTCTCTGATACGCTTTTGAAAATTGTTTGAATGCTTCTCTGCGGCATGCACGTTCACATATATGTACGTAACAGAAATAACAGAAATACTTCGTGCGTCATCTGTTGTTATAATTCAGTTCTAAAATATCCTGTATATTGCCTCAGTTAAATGTTTACGAGTAATATATCAATGTGTTCACGAAATAATAAATTAATGTTTGCGCGAGTAATGTCTATTTTTTGTTACTATACGTCTCTTTAATATGTAACGCGTCCGAAATTGCAGCATACGCTGAAAAAGTGCGTAAGCTTGTACGTGTATGTATGTGTGTGTGTGTGCGCGCGCAAACGGCAAAGGTGGTGAAGAACGCAGATTGCTAAAGGCACTGTTCCGGTGACCTACTCCGCGATTATCACTCACTGGGGCCCGATCGTCGATGCAAGTGCGTGAGCGCTAACTAGTGTTGCCAACTATATACATCGCACTATAAGAAAAGAAGGATAGGAGACGAAGAAAAGGAGGACACCACGTGCGGAGGAATGTAATCACGCATAAATGTTGCGCGCGAGTTGTTTTTTTTTTTTTTTTTTTTTATAAAAAAGTTCTTCGAGTTCGATAAGTGCGTCGAAACTGACACAACTGCGTCCAGATTGGTCCGCTTCTGCGTTTTCGGTGCGTTTTAACAACCTGTGAGAATTTCACGAAAACGGATGTTTAAAAATTATTCAAATAATAAAAAACAAAAATTATGTTACAAGTACATTCTTAATTTTCAACTAGCAGATTTTATTAGATAGTTTATAAGTTTTGGTGTAGACTTTGTGGTCACAGGAAATGGGAGGGGGGGTCACAGGAAATGGGGTAATTTACATATTTGAGATGCAAATTAAGCATCTTAGATGAATTTTCACAATCACTTCGAATGTTTGCGTGTATTAAACTACACTTTTAAAACTATATTTGTACACTCGGCAAATTGGCTCGTATTGACCATAAAAACCATCTGCTAATAAAGCTTTATCGAGAGTTTAAAAATTACAATTCCCAATTTTATTAGAATAATATAAAAAATATATACACGAAAAAAAGATTTGCTAGAACAGCAAGATTAATTACTATATGACCAGCAAGAAAAATTCAGTAGATAAAACAACAAATTCACCGCAAATTTTTCTTGCTGTCCATATATAATATAAGCAAAACTGTTTTTTACACCGTGTAGATAAAAATGTGTGTAAAAAAAAACGGAAATTACTAAAACAATAAATATTCTATTTTAATAAGTACATAGATACACTTGTGTAAGAAATATGAAACTTTTTCCGTTAAAATAAGTTTTAATAAAAACGCTCGAAACATCGATGTCACATCGATGTCTCCTCCGGCTTCAGAAAGATTGATGTGCGATACACACACATACACACACATTCGTTAAAAAACTTCTACACATACATTACCGCTTATTTAAATCGAGTTGACGTGAAAACGATCTCGGAGATGAACTGTGTCTGTCTCTCGCTTGCTGCTCGTTAAGTAAATATGATATTAAATCCAAATCGCTCGACCGATAAAACGTTATAGCGCCGATTTCCGGCGAATGTTCGCGCGGAGAAAGTAC